AGGCGCCCCAGGCTGCAATGGGGACCAAGCGCTGAGACTAGGAAGGGCTAGGGTGGCCGAGCGATGCGGCTGGGGAAAGCTAGAGTGGCCGAGCGCTGCGGCTAGAACAGGCTGGGGAAGTTGCATCTTGTGATATTGCACTTTTAAGAAGTTGCTACTTGGGAAATACCCTTGGGAAGTTGCCGTTTGGGAAAATGCCTTTGTGAAAGTATCTAACATCTATATTAACTATGTCATATAATATCTATAACATATATATGTTTATCTAAAGAAATAAATATACATATTTTGTCTTACTGATTGTGTCTTTTTCTTGAAGGTACTCACTGTGATTTTAAGGTCTCAAGCTCTCAAACAAAAATTAATGAGAATTTTTCCAATTACTTTTTAAAAACCGAAGCTAACAACGGATACTTTAAAGTTCTAAAATGTACGTGTAAAGGGCTACAGAAAAGCATAAGTGAGTTAAAGCAGTAAAATCACAGCCCAAGGCGTTTCAACACTTCAAAGTCGACCCTGTCTTAAAATTGTACGAGACTTTTTATGAAGCTGGCTGAATCTACTGTCGACGTAATTTTGATTGAACTCAAAATAAAGTTAAGTTTGCCCGATTTACAACGGTGCACTTTATACCTTCATCTGATCAAAATTACAAAGTTTGGTTTTCCCTGATCACACTAAATGTAATCTAAAATATGAGTTTTGATTTAAAAATAAGTTTTATCAGTTTTCAGAATGAATTAAGCGGTAAATCATACTTGTAAGCTGTAAGTTAGAAAACTTCAAACTAGGAAAGTGGCGTGAAGCATAGTGAATTGAAGTCAAGTGTATCCAAGTATATGATCTATATGTTTAGATATTGTGGTTTGCAAATGATGTAATATATATTCTAAAACCATACTCCACTAGCAGAACAGTTAGGGTTGCAGCGGTTACAAACAAATCAATACCGACGGAACAAATTATGCGGACGAAACAAATAATACCGACAAAACAAACAATATGGACGAAACAAACAATACCTAAGAAACAGACAAAACTGACGAAACAAATAATACCGACGAAACAAGCAATACCTAAGAAACAAACAATATGAACGAAACAAAAAGTACCGACGAAACAAACAATACTGACGAAACAAACAATATGGACGAAACAAACAATATGGACGAAACAAACAATATGGACGAAACAAACAATATGGACGAAAAAAAATTATCTAAGAAACAAACAATATGGACGCAACAAGCATGAAATAAAATGTTATCACAGAATTCTAAATAATCAGGGACCGGATTTAATGAATTTGAGCCAGGTCTAGAGACGGTTTAACAACGTATCTTGAATCTGTGATTTAGGATTTGATCCATGAACAAAACTACACTGCAGCACTATAGAGATGTTATATGTAAGCACTAAAAATGTTTGATATTTTTCGCAAAATTTCGAATAATGTTTTATACAAGCCTAGCTCAGTTCATTTGTATTCTTCTGAAGCCTTTACAAAATCTAAAACATCAAAAATATTCAAGTCTTTAAACCCCGAAACAATGAGACGAATTTTCCAAGTATATTTAAACAAAAGAGAGAGGGGGGGAATACCATATAAAAAGCTGCATTTTTTAGAAATCAAGAAAAAAATTTGATTTAAAGCAAGTTCAGAAATGATATCTGGATTTGGATAAAATGGGTAAAAAAATAGACAGATTGAATGAGGATCAGTTTTGGTCTTTTTTATCAAATTATCTAATTTTTATTTGATGCACTGTTCTACTATCGAATGAATAAATTCTGTATTGTAAAGGATGAAATCCCCGAAAGAGGATTATATGTTTGTATGTTAAAGTATACTGTTTTTAAAGTAAAGAATTAACTTAATTCGATGCCTAAAAATTACGAAAGCAGATTAACAACATTTGAACCAAATAAATGAAGTTGAGAAATATATTTTTACATTTTGTACTTTCCTTTTTATTTAGTATTTAGACAATATAATATAAATTCTCATTTTTCTAGTTTTAAATAAGAATTCTAAAAATAATGTAGTATTGAACAAATTTTGACGAGCTTTTGGTCAAAGAACAAATGAATATTTGCAATCGTACTTCTCGATTTCAGATATCTGTCCGCCCTACTCTAAGTATTCTTATATCCGTCCTACTCTAATTATTAATTGATCCCTCCTACCCTAAACATTCTCGTATCCGACCTGTTCCAAACATTCTGGTATCCGACTTGCTCTAAAAAATTGTTGTATCTGTCCTACTCTATATCATTCTTTTATTCTTTCTACTTAAAACATACTTTTAATTGTCCTACCGTAATATTCTTTTAATAGTCCTACTCTAATATTCTTGTATCCGTCCTACTCTAATATTCTTATATCCGTCCTACTCTAAATATTCTTGTAATCTTCCTTCTCTAAATCTTCTTATATCCGTCCTACTCTAAATATTCTTGTAATCTTCCTTCTCTAAATCTTCTTATATCCGTCCTACTCTAAATATTCTTGTAATCTTCCTTCTCTAAATCTTCTTGTGTCTGTACTACTCTAAACATTCTTGTATCAGTCCTATTCTAAACCTTCTTGTATCCGACCTGCTTCAAACATCCAAACATTCTTGTATCTCCACATTCTCGTATCCAACCTGCACCAACCATTCTTATATCCGTGCTACTCTAAACATTTTTGTATTCTTCCTTCTCTAAACATTATCGTATTGGTCCTTCTCTAAACATTCTTGTAGTCTTCCTTCTCTAAACATTCTTGTATTTTTACTTCTCTAAACATTCTTGTATTTTTACTTCTCTAAACATTCTTGTATTAATCTTACGCTAAACATTCTTGTATCCGTCCTACTCCGAGACCCTGAACACTTGATCAAATACCATATTTCTGTGTGGACTATATCTCTATGTAAATAAAAACATTGATCTAGTAGTATCTATCTATCTGTCTATCTATCTATCTATCTGTCTACCTATCTATCTATCTAGTATATCAGAAACATCTGTGTTCCTCTCCGCCCATCTTATTATTAGTTTTCCTTCAGTTTCAGACCAGTCATTCCTTAACATCTTCCTTTATTAACTTTTCAAGTATCCCAGATCTTATTCCTTTTCTAAACCTACCTAAACCTTCCTCTATTCAGACCTTATTCTTTTTTCTAAACCTGCCTAAACCTTCATTTATTCTGATCATATTCTTTTTTCTGAACCTTTCTCAACCTTCATTTATTCGAAGACCTTATTCCTTTTTCTGAACCTATCTGACCTCCTTCCTTTATTTTTTCAACATTTTCCCTAGGTCTATTTAGGCATTTTTCTAATTAGGCATTCTGACGAAGTTTTAACTTAATCTGGAAACCATAGTCTGTTCTTTGTAATCAGTAAATTTACTTAACTATCTTAATTACAACATATCCTGTTCTATCTGCGTTAATCGGTGAATCTTCAAAAATATTTCATTTACAGCACCTCTTGTCCTTTCTGAGAAGTCTATGAGATTAATAAATTATCTCATTTACGACTTTTCAATTGTCTGTATAATCTGTAAATCTATGAAACTATCTTTATAACGACAAACCATGCTCTATCTGTGTTAATGTGTGAATCTTAGAAACAATTTCAAGTATAACGTAACACGACCGATTTATGTTATTCTATGAATCTAGGAAACTATTCTGTTTGCAACTCAAGTCCTTTCTGAGAAATCAGCGAATTTACTAAATGTTCTCTATTACATTTCAATTGGCTTTTAAATCTGTTAATTTATGAAACTGTTTGAATTGCATCTTATGTCCTATCTGAGTAATATTTGAATCTACGAAACTATTTAAATTGCAACATATCTGTGGAAATAGAAGAAATCTCAAGTTTATGTTGTTATAAAGCAAATAATTCACCAGTAGCTTGAAAATCAGCTTATTGGTCTGTGTACACTGCACTGCGCGCACAATTGTCGTCTTTCATGTTTATAGGACTGGACTTTTGAGTCTAAAAGTTGTCTTTCTTTTCCACAGAAAGAAAATCTTTCAATAAAGAAATATCTTGTTTTAAAATCAAATCTCTAAATCTGCGAAAAATCTTCCCATATCTCTGTAATCTGCGATGCTCCATATATCAAATCTTTCATCTGTTTTGTTTTCTTAAATATTGATTATATAATTTATTTGATAAACATCTACATAAACACAGCCATCTTTTGATATACTTACATTTGGATAAAAAATATCTAAGGGACTGTAAACATAATTTAAAGTGGTTCTCCACGCAAGGATAACAATACCCAATTCAAGGTAGTAGAAATGCGTGAGTAACTTTTGTAGAGAAATTACAATAGAAAATATAGAAAATAATTAGTTTTTGAATTATAAACATGGATATCTAATTCATCCTTGATAAGACAAAGCTTTTGTACCATTGTGAATCTGGTATTGGCATCTTTCCATGGAGAGGGTCAATTAAAATTATACTTACATTCTCTTTAACGAGGGTACAAAGGGTACATTAATGATATATATATAATATATTGAAAATAGATGAAGGGGGGGGGGGATCGCTAAATATTTGAAAAACATCGACATAATATTTTCCCGAGTGAGGATAAAAATATGTTTTCAGGATTTTCTTATTTTAAACCATGTACAATATATTTTCAAAACAGGAATATTTTTTATCATTTTATTCCCTGTAAGAATTGATTGGCGTGCTCCAGGTTTAATTTTGAATTCTAGAATTTGAATAGAAAAATAGAATCTCATTGAACCTATTTGAATTTAAATTATTCTGAATAAAATTCCCTTTGATAATTTCCTTTGATAATAGAAAAATAAAGTTTGAGAAGGAAGATTCATGACAATTTAATCAAATGAGAGTTCAAAACTTTTAGCCAGGTTCAGATCTCAAATAGTTTTAATTCAGAGAGAAAATAAAATAAAAAGTTGTGATAATTCAAATAAATAATATCATTTTTTGACTAGATAAAGAGTAAAATAAAATAGAAAATATATGATATCACGAAACCTCCGATTTAAAGGGAGTGCTCACCAAAAAATGAACGAATTTGAAAAAATTAACGTCCTCAACAGAACCCAAATATTCCATGCCTTTAAAGTGCAGCAAAGTAGCAAAGTAGAAGCCAGTTTTGAAAAATAAAAACTGAATTTTAAATTATTCTTTTTTAATCTGCGAATGACGGTTTTTATGCAATATTCTTCTCAAAAATATGATATTAACACCACTTGATACTTAATTTAGCTATAGTCCTTTTAAATACTTTGTACACACCCCCTAAAAGTTTGAATTATTATTTCAGGTCAGGTTGGCTCACAATTAATATTGTACTATTGATTAAGCATTAAATAGACCTGATAAATAACACAATAAAGGTGTGGTTCGGATAAACAGATTAATCAAATTTTCGGTCCCTTTGTAATTAGTGTGCAATAATAGCTCACTGCGTACAGTGTGGGTACTGCGTAACATGTACACTGTACATATGACTAGATATGTTCAGACTCCGAAATCATTTACCCTTATGTTCTTTTTTCTCATGATACTATGCAACCTTTGGAGGTTTATTTTAGTAGTTTCATCTCCAGGTTTAATCCTCCAGGCAGTGATATACTCATCCTCAGCAGCCTCCAGTCGTCCTCGGAGATGCAAAAGGGCTCCCAGGTTTAGATGAGGTTCAGCATCTCCAGGTTTGAGCTGAACAGCTGCTCTGTAACTAGCCTCAGAGAGGTCAAGCTGACCAGCCAGCCTAGCTGCTACAGCAAGGTTGAAAGTATAATCGTAAACTCCAGGTTGATATTGAGTAGCGAGGACAAAGTTAGAAACTGCCTCTGTAAACCTCTGTTTATCCAGCAGGAAGAGTCCATAGTGAGCATATACAGCAGGGTTGGATGGAGATATATCTCTGGCTCGGAGAAACCAGCTCTCTGCGTCCTGCTCCCGAGAAACCTGCAACAAAAGAGAAATTTTTGAATTTTGCATTCATTTGCATTAATAAAAGAGTTCAGGAGAAGATTTGCATAAATTTTGAAAACTAGACTGAAGTCGACTCTCTTCAATATTCTATTTAATCTTCGGTTCTTTTAAAAATACAATTTAAAGTCAAGCAATAAACATTAAACATTTAAATTTTTTATCATTTGAAAGTTTAAGGCTTGTTTTTTTGTCGATCCCGAAAATACCCTGAAAAGCTTTATCTTAGGAAAAGTGTGAAAGATACCGCTATTTTCATGGCACACTTACGAAATTATGCACCTGTTATTTAGAAGAAAGGAGAAAATGACAAAAAATGTAGAAAAATGAAGATGAGTCCCACATTATTACGTAGATAACGGTGTAAACGGTACTTTTTTTAATCGGGGTAAATCTCACAAAATTGGGTTGCTGAAAATTATGTCACCATTCCCTTTAAGAAACAGACTACTCTCCATAAATTATAATTTTCTAATCCTTTTATCTTTTGTAACCTAATATATCAAACATATATCAAAATTAGAGTTGAACGCGAGTAATCAATTCCTTTTCAAACATTTAAACATCATAAGCTATACTTAACGTACATTCTTGGCCAACATCTTAGCAAGGGTTAGATGTGCTGGGATATGTTTCGGATTCGTGATCAAGGATTGTGAATACCAGTGCTCTGCTTCCAGCGGGTTTCCTGACTCCTGGTAGCACTCCCCTAGCAGGTTGAAGATCTTCTCTAGGTTCGGGTTCCCTGTCTCCCCCCGGCTCTGGTTTACCGCTCTCTCCAGGACGGATATTGCTCCCTTAATATCTTTAGATTCTAGTAATAGTTTCCCCAGATGAAACATAGAGGATATCCGAGCATTTACATTCTCCTTGGGATCTTTCAACCCATTATCGTCAACTTTAGAACACTTTTCCAGAATATTCATTGCTTCAGATTTCCGACCCAGGTCGGACAAGGCTACACCTAGATTTAAATACGCTACTCCGAGCTTAGGTCGGAACCTGATCGCGGCCTTGTAGCAGGGAATAGATTCCTGTATCCGTCCCTGGTTCTGTAGCAGGGTTCCCAGGTTGTAATGTGTATCCGCCATGTTGTTCCGGTGTATCAGAGCTTGTTTAAAAGCTAGCTCTGCTCCGGCCTGGTTTCCTGCTCCGTCCAGGATATTCCCGTAGTTGCTCCAGGATTTAGCAGGGTTTATCGATATCCCGGAGGAGAACAAACTTTCTTCATTTCTCCAGTCTTGGTTCCGAGACAAAGTTTTTAGGGTAAAAAATCCGAGCATAATTAGGGTGCCAAATCTCACGCATCTTCGGTTGAACCTGGAAAGGTTCTCCAGGGAGATTGCCAGTAGTAGACAGTATCCTAGTGAAGGTATATATAGAACTCTCTCCGCTAGGACGAACCCCACATAAAAGAAAAGATTTGTTGCTGGTAGAAACGGTAGGATTAGCAAGGATAAGGACAACGCCATTACTTGAATAGTGTCAATCTTTCTTCTACTTTCTTCTCCTGGTTTTGATAAACAAGAGCTCTCTCCGGTATTAGAACCAGTCTTCTTCAAGATCCCAACAATTCTGGGATAAAAATTGAAAACCACTCTAGATATGAAACAAAATAGAAGAGAGTAAAACACTGTTGATATGATATTTCTGATATCTAGGATAGAAGAAACCAAAGGGATAGATTCCATGGACCAGTCGTAGCTCAGGGTACTGGGTAAAAACAGGAGCTGAAAGTTAAGTGCTGGAAGAAGGAGGAATGTAAGAGTTCTGGTCTGAATGAATTCACAGTGGGAGGCAGGGTTATCACTTTTAGAGAAGGAAGGAAGATTTCCGTCCAGGGCTATTGATCTTAGACAGAGCAAACTTATAAAGGTTAGAAACAGTTTCACTAAAGATTTTCTCACTTGATGAACTCCTTGTGAGGAGAGAAGATCTATAACTGCGCACACTATGAGCACAGTCACCCCCTGCTCCTTCGCTAGCATGGAGAGGAGAGCCAGGAGAGAAGTTTTCCAACTGAACCCGTCCTTTGTGTGAGTAATAAGACAGGAGAGGAAAAGGATGCATGAGAGTACATCCGCTCTCCCAACCACTCCGGCAACTGCCTCGGTATGAACCGGATGAACTGCGAATATCAGTCCTGCGATGAGTCCTGTCTCAGGGGACACCCAGAGCTTACAGAACCTCACGTAGAATAGAGTAGCAGCAGCATGGAGGAGAAGGTTGGTCAGATGGAACTGAGTCGGAGCTGGGTTTAGTATCCAGTCCAACCTGAAGCTAAGGGTGGTGAGGGGACGGTAGGATTTATGGGATCCAGGATGGGAGAGAGGTACGCCCCAGTAGTCAGAGGTGAATGCGGAGATGGAATTTCGTCCCACCACACTCGGGTTGGAGAGAACTGCTTTTCTGAAAGATATAAATTTATTTATATTTTTATAAAAGACGGTGACAAACAACCTTTTAATATCAGAGTTAGAAGATGTCAAGATAATGATGCAAAGGATAAATAAAAATAGAAAAATTAAATTTTGTAAAATACGTATTTTTTGAAATGTTTAACAAAAACATAGCTAACAAGAAATCTCAAGAATCCTTGGAATTTTTCGAAAAAAAGATCAATATTTGACAAAAATTTAATAAAAAATAATAAAAAATCGGAACCAGTGAGTTTTTAAAGAAAAGCTAAATCGTAAGTTTTTCCATATAACCCCCACTTTATTGATGTTACCATGCATTTGCAGTAGGAAACTACAGCTTGGTTTGTAGCTAAACACAGCTCTTTATAAATGTACAACATAAATGAAATCTTAAATGTCAGCATTCAATTCCAATAATACATATGAACCTATCTAGTATTTACTGATTAATAAACAGAGAAAGATCTAAACTCTTAAACTGTCTATAAATCACTCTAATTTTAATAGAAGTAAAAAAACTAATTTTATGCTGATATACTAGTACGAATTTGCCTCCTCATATCTTTTTCATCTTATGCACCCCAGAGTGAATTAAGCAAACTTGCTTGGTTGCTTAATAAGGAATTCAAAGCTTATCAATATCAGTTGATTTAAAAAAAAATTTAAAAAATTAAACTGCATAGAAAATTGTGATTGCTTATTTGTAATATCTCATGGTTTGTAGTTGAATAAATATATATGAATAATAGAGTTTAACTTGATATTTATAAAGCTATAAAAAAGGAAACTAGAGATATTGGTATCATATAACTCAATATGCTGCATACATGTATAGAGTGATGATAGGTATAAACTGTTAGATAGATAGAAGAGCTCATAGAACTCCATATTTCAACATTTTTACAAAATTCAGGATTGGGAACTAGAATTAACGCCTTTTTCAATAAAAATCAACCTACACCACTTATACTGTTTTGACCAAGCTCAGAACATTCCCGTGGTTCTACCGAACTCACCAATCAAAGTTTGAGGCAAATCGGCCATGGTATTTCTATTACCAGACATACAAACATCCTAACACACTTTACTACTTTATATAAATATATTTTAAAAACTAGTTTGGCTAAGAAACAATTTTTGCATTGAAAAATAATCTCTTTTGTTTAAATCTACGAAATGGTTACAGTGAGACCCATGAAACCGTAAAATAGGAAGACGACTGTTAACCCCCGTTTTGATTTTTAAACAGTCCTATGAATCTCATGAACCCCAGTGCAGTGTACCAATTTACCTTAATAATTTGACTGGTAAAACTATAATTCACTTTATAACCACACAAAATACATATATGACTGCAAAATGCTTAAATGTCGTTTTTGTATTCCATAGTTTTATTAATCTCAATTGGATTCTCTGGCGTATGCCAATGTCATATCTAATTTATTAAGCAATACAATTAAAGGGACTGTAAGCGTAATTTCAAATGACTCTACATGCAAAGATGACAATGCCTATTATCAACGGTTCCCTTAAAAGCCTTGTCTGATCTTCTAAGCATGAATTATATATCACTGTTCATAATTTTTAAATCAGAATTACATTACTAATCAGATAAAGGCTTCAAGAGTACCGTTGGATTTAGGGCATTGTCATCTTTGCATGGAGGGTCATTTGAAATTACGCTTACGATCCCTTTAAAGTAATCGATTCTTTTGAAATTAATCCACTATAAGCCCCTAGGACAAAGATAAAACTTTAATCCTTTCTTTCTTTAAACTCTTTTAGTTCTAATTTTATTTTGAAAGTTTAAAACAAAAACGCATTTCGGGGGGAGGAGAGGGGGTGAAATGTGTGGGATTTTTGTACTGAGATATGTGTCCTAAAAATATGAAAAAATCGATTATATCATTGATTAATTGATTAAGGCATAGTTTTTATTTAAAATCCCCCACCTCGTCTCGTTTTAGAAGTGATATTTTACAGGAAAAAGAAAAAAATCAATATTTCTGAATAATTTTGATAAAACATGTTATTTTTAGAAATATATCATATTAGGAATTTTATTGTTTGTTCATACCTTTTGTTTGGGGTGTGCCATTGTGCGTATAATATATTTACCTCGTAAATATCCCATCCCCCTTCTCTTCAACCCCTTTTATTCCTTTCCCTTCCGCAGTAAATAACCACATTTCCCCTTTCCTTCTCTTCAATCAATCACTGTCACTTCCCTTTCCTTCTCTTCAATCCCTCACTGACACTTCCTGTTCCTTCTCTTCAATCCCTCACTGTCATTTCCCTTTCCTTCTCTTCAATCCTTCACTGACACTTCCCTTTCCTTCTCTTCAATCCCTCACTTTCATTTCCCTTTCCTTCTCTTCAATCCCTCATTGTCACTTCCCTCTCCTTTTCTCCAATTTCTCACTTACCTCTCCTTTTCTCCAATTTCTCACTTACCTCTCCTTTTCTCCAATTTCTCACTTACCTCTCCTTCTCTCCAATCCCTCTCTTCTTTTCTTCAAAATCTTACTTCCCACTCCTTGTCAGTCCCTAACTTCTCTTCATTTTCTTTAATTCCTCACTTTCCTCTCCTGTTCTTCAACCCTTGCTTCACTCTCATTCTCATCAGTTCCTTACTTCTTTTCTTTCTCTTCAATCCCTCACTTCTCTCTCTTTCTCTTGAACCTTTCATTTCACTTCCTTCTCTCCTTTATCTGACAACAATACTTCCCTTTTGTTTTTTTCCTCCTCACTTCCCATTTTTTTCGATCCCTTTCAACCCTCCGTCCTCTAAAATCCGTTTTTTCTCTCCACTTCTCTCCTTCTTGCTACTTTAACTTTTTTGTAATTTCCCCCCCCCCTTTCATGTTTTTCTTTTTCTAGTAGTGGTTAGGTTTATACTTAGTACTACTTACATATATTGATTTGTGTAGAGCTGTGTACCAAGTAATGATGGTTTGTTTAATTGATAATATTCTCTAATAACGGTAATTATACCCATTATCCTAATAGGTTTACTACTCTCTATATGTTAATGATATGTATCAAAGTTCTACTAATCGAACAAATATACGTCAAGCTATTATCAATATAATTTAGAAATACATACATAGGAATGAAATGTAATTTTAAATGCATTTTATGAGTGAAGCGTTTTATGAGTTAGTGTTTCATGAGGTAGCGTTTTATGAGGTAGCGTTTTATGAGGTAGCGTTTTATAAGGTAACGTTTTATGACGTAGCGTTTTATGACGTAGCGTTTTATGAGGTAGTGTTTTATGAGGTAGCGTTTTATGAGTGTAGCGTTTTTCTTGAGATGAAAAGAAACACGGTCTAAATCATAAAATGTTCAAATTATAGAAATGTTCAGGGTTAGTGCTCTTATAGTGCTCTTCCATTCCACTGTCATACAAAATGTCCTTTAAAAAAATATATTTTGAAAAGTTTTTGTAGACCAAACTTTCTAAATAATTAAAATATATTTTCAACATTTGATGCCGTTTCCGGCCATAGTTTTTACCCGTTAATATATCTATCAATCAAGAATCAAACCCCAATATGAGTTTATAAAAATTGATTGTAAACATTTGATCAATTAACAGCTCCGAAGCGTACCATTAAATATTGATAAAAACATTCCGAAATATTTCTAGATATTTTCGTGGATTTTATGTTGGACGAAATAATCCCTTTTATAGTCCGGTTTTATAACCATTTATTTTATAAATGGGGATTGGAGAAAAGATTAGAGTGAATTGTTTCCAAAATCTCATATTTTGAGAAATATTATCATTTAAACCTTCTCTAAACCCAAAGAATTAAGTCTAATCTAAATCAAGTTGAATAGATAGGATTTTATGTAAAAATATATCTATCTGTTGCATTTTTATCTTTATTTTACAGTAAACAGTAGAGTACACAATAAATAAGGAAAGTTTTAGAATTCATAGATTTGGGACAAGATTTAATAAATAGCGAGACATAGTTGAACCGCTTGGGCATAGTTGAACCGCTTAGACACAGTTGAACCGCTTAGACATAGATGAACCACTTCTCTAAAGCTTGACCCAGCGGAAAAAAGTGGTTCAACAATGTCTCACAGTTCATTAAATCTGGTCCATGACTCCATTAAATCTGGTCCCTGACTCCATTATATCTGGTCCCTGACTCCATTAAATCTGGTCCCTGACTCCCATTAAATCTGGTCCCTGACTCCATTAAATCTGGTCCCTGAGTCCCATTAAATTGTGTAATGTTTTGTAAATAACTCATTTATGATGTTCCAATATGATAAGAAAAGAAAGATTAACAAAAACCGCTTTTCAAAAAGATGAAAAATATTCTGATTTTAACATTTGATAATTTATCTTAGGAGTGAGATAATATAAAGTTGCTGAATGTTGTGATGTTAATACCTGTCATCGTAAACAAACTGATGATGTATAGTGCCAATATACACTACTAGAGCTAAACTTGAGCAGATCAATTCCTCTTTCATCCTGCAGGGTTCAGGTTTATCGGAGTAAACCAGGATATATCCTGCAGGTTCAAGTTAATCGGAGTAAACCAGGATATATCCTGCAGGGTTCTGGTTAATCGGAGTAAAACATATATCCAGCAGGGCTCACGTTTATCGGAGTAAACCAGGATATATCCTGCAGGTTCAAGTTAATCGGAGTAAACCAGGATATATCCTGCAAGTTCAGGTTAATCGGAGTAAAACATATATCCAGCAGGGCTCACGTTTATCGGAGTAAACCAGGATATATCATACAGGTTCAGGTTAATCGAAGTAAAGTATGTATCCTGCAGGGTTCACGTTTATAGGAGTGAAACAGGATATTTTCTCCTCATCATGCACTAGTAATGTGTAAACTAACTGAGTGACTAATAATAAATAAGTAACGAACGTGCCGATGAATTATCTGTGATTATTAGTTTGAGTTCTATTCAGGTTCAGAGTTCTAGTTTCTCCGGAGTAAACCTGCTCCGGGTATCCGTACTAGGTCTCCGGTAGCTCACAACCAACTGTTGGCGGAGTTGAGGCCGGTTCAGGATATCCAGAGATCCAGCTTCAACCCTGCAGCAGAGGGTTCAGAGTAAACCCTGATATTTCGGGTTCAGAGTAACCCTTATATGTTGGGTTCAAAATAACTTTTATATTTCGGGTTCAGATTAAACCCTAATATTGCGGGTTCAGAGTTACCCCTGATATTTCGGGTTCAGAGTAAACCCTAATATTTCTGGTTCAGAGTAAACTGATACTTCTGAATTAAAGTAAACCCTGACATTTCGGGTTCAGAGTAACTCCTGATATTTCGGGTTCAGAGTAAACCCTGATATTTAGGGTTCAGAGTAAACCCTAACATTTTGTGTTCAGAATATCCCCTGGAATTTCGGGTTCAGAGTAGGCCCTGATATTNTAAACCTTGATATTTCGGGTTCAGAGTAAACTCTGATATTTCGGGTTCGGAGTAAACCTGATACTTCGGGTTCAGAGTAAACTCTGATATTAATGATTCAGGGTAAATCTAGATATTTATGATTTACAATAACCCTGTAAAGGTTTAAGGTTCAAATTATCTCCAAAACTTTGCAATCATGATTTATTAATTGTTTAATAAACCCTAATCCTAACAAGTGTGTCTTGTTTAATATTCCCCTAATCCTATCAAGTGTTTAATATATATTTATGATATTTTTATTTTCATCTTCTCTCTGTACTGTAACTCAATCCTACCTAAGCTGGAGCAACATGAGATCCAACCCATACACTTTCCACTCAACAGACTTATTTGTATATATATATTGTAAATATATTTAGATTTACTGTTTTTCCATTCTTTCTGTATTTCAATATGAAGAAATAAAGGAACTTTCAAGTGGCAATAAAAATATATGTTGCTAAAATATACAAATATATAAAAATATATGTTGCTAAAATATACAAATATATAAAAATATATGTTGCTTTAGATTTACTGTTTTTCCATTCTTTCTGTATTTCAATATGAAGAAATAAAGGAACTTTCAAGTGGCAACTCACCCCCCCCCCCCATTAAGGTTTAATAATCACCTAGAGAAGTTTAAAAACAAAGCGACGATAGGATCGTTTTCTTGAAAAAACGATAATTTTCTTGAAAAAACTATCGTTTTTGATAAAAATTTTGCTAATAAATATGATTTATTTTTACATTTAAATTCTTTTCTATTTATAGTAAGGAAATTTTATTAATGTTGTTGAGCATGGTTCTTTTATCAAGGGAAATGACCTGAATGTTTTTTTTATTTTTTTCTGAAAAAGGTTGTCAATTTAATTAAGTAAGTATTTCAAACTAACTAAATGAGTTTGATTTTGAAAATCACCTTCTCAAAAATGCCTAGAGTAATTAGTAGAATCATTACAAATCGTAAACCCAGGCTTCATTTTTGACTTAGTATATAGTCATCTTGAATTTGAAGTTTGGAGGTAGGACATTCCTTGAAGTCTAATTTCTGTATTTCAACATAAAGAAATAAAGGTACTATCAAGTGACAACTCCCCCCCCCCCATTAAAGTTTAATAATCACCCAGAGAAGTTCTTTTTTCTGAAGGATATTAGAAATTTTTTTTATTTTAAAGTTACTGACGGCCAACTTTTGAAAGGAATTAAGTCTTTGTTCATTACTGAAATGTTCTAATCCTTATTTCTATGCAACCTGGTGGTGTATTTATTTGATATTTTAAACTATTTGATCTAACAGAATGCATATTTTTAATATCAAAGGTCTACAACATTTTGTTGCAAATATATTGGGATTTAAAAATCAGAATTTGTGGCAAAGACTCAATTCCTTCTCTAGAGGGCGAGGGGGGAGGAAAATAATTAAAAAATTGCCCTGAAATGTAAATATTTTGGCAATATCCTTAAAACGGAGGGAGAGAGGGTGTTATTTTGACAATATTTTTTTAAGTAATTTGATAATAAGCAAGCTTCGACATGTGGTATCGTAAAATTGAAGTTTTCGAGTGAATAGGAATTACATTACGACTGCCTAAGCAATTTTAAACTTTTCTTACAATTCTTATTAATTTTTTTTATCTCATTTTAATTAAATTTGTAAAATAATATAAGAGAATTTAATTTTAAATTAAAGGATTATTTTCGCTTGAATCTTTAATTAAGAATAAATATCTCCTAGAAATTCTGAAAACCCTTTAATGAAAAAAATTAATTACAATTCAAAACAAATTTTGTGTCTTAAAAAGTGCAAAATATTTAATAATAAGAGTTAATCATTTATGAATTGGGTTAAATAATATTTGCACAATTGGAAAACCGATAGTTTTTTTTAACAAATGTCAACTTTTTATGCCTTCAATAAAACTATTAAGAATTAAACTATCGATTTTAATTTTTTTTCTATAATGTGATATAAACAATCTAAAGGCTTATACAGGGGGAGGGAGGGCTATTTGGGCTCAGCCCCCCCCCCCCTGTAAAAGTCCAAAAAGTAAAATTAACCCTATTTTACTGGAACTTGAACAATGACCTATATACATGGTTACCTTCAAAGGATGCGACTTCAGAGACGACTGTATGGAATTTATACTGTCTGTTTACTTATAATTTTGATTTTCTGTAACTGTAAACTTGTTTCTTGTATTAATTAAGTCATTAAAAGACTATATAAAAGGAAAAAGACTTAATTTTAACTTGGGATCGTAATATTTAAAGATATTTAGGTTGTTTTTACAGTCTCAGCCTTTATGGGTAACCCTGTAGATACGTGTACCCTTCACAACGCATTTAATATTAATGGAATTTTCTATAAATCTATTAAATAGAATCGTTTTCATTTAAAGGTTAGAGACATTATTTTCGTTTAAAAAAATGTATTAATAAGTATTTGGAATAATTAAATATTTGTTGCTATATAAAATATTTATACTGAAATATTTCATTATTTCTTTTTTAAAGTTTAAGTTAAAACACTTTATTTCATAACTTTTCTTTGGAAAGGAGTCTAGAACTTCTTTTATGTACAATTATCAAAGTAGTAAAATAAAGACAAAAGTCAAGTTACTATATAAGATACTAGCTAAAGGGCCCGGCGTTGCCCGAGGAATTTTAGAAACACTTGAAAAAAATGTATATTTTTAGCCTATTCAACCCCATATCAAAATATACAAATATGTAAAAATATATGTTGCTAAAATATACAAATATATAAAAATATATGTTGCTAAAATATACAAATATATAAAAATATATGTTGCTAAAATTCAACACAAAATTCAAAATGTATATTTCTCTACACTATTCATACTTCAATCAACAAAAATGAGCTAAAACATATATTTGAATAGTATAATCTTGCCTTTTTTGTAAAAAAAACACGTTTAAATCAATTAGTCTCTATAGTAAATTTAAAGTAAATTGTTAACCATTCTAAAATCAAATGATGTTCTAACTTTTAAAAAAAAGACGTTTGAGTGAATATCTTTCTCTTACGATTTAAAAATAAAAAAATAATGATAGTTTATCATCTTTTATGTACAAACACAGGGTCCGGCGATATCATTCGAGGTTAAAAAGCTAGCTTAATAAATTAAAGCAAAGAAAGGAAAAAAATGTCAAGAACTTTCTTCCACAACACTTTAAACTATGCCTTCGGTGCGTTCTGCAGTTATCTGCAGTACGATCGTGTTGATCGTATTGATCGTGTTGATCGTATTGATCGTGTTGATCGTATTGATCGAAAAAATATTGGATTTCAGCATGCAGAGTGCCACAGCTGAAAACTGCTCTATTAGAATGAGGCAGCTTACAACAATCATTTTCCCAAACAAAGAAACCTATAAATTATACTGAGTAATTGATTAGGGGTAATAAATGCATATTAATTAGAATTAGAAAACTAGAAATAGAACCACAGACAACTACAGAGAACACACTCCACTACACAGAAGGAAAAGGTCAATTTATGCGGCTTTGCTGTTACAACTTTATGTTTTACGCACACGTTTGGTTTAAATATATTAGTAATTCAACTCTTTTGTTCTTCTCAATATAGCTCTTCAATAAATGGGGTTATGATCTAAAATGTGTAAAATTTTGAACTGAAGTAAAATTCACTTTAACTTGACACAAATCCAAAGGGAGAGGGGCCAAAAAAATCAATTCTATTTGACATTTCACTCTTTTTTTATTAAAAGAGTGAAACATGATGAGATTTTAGAAGTCTCTCTTGTCCGTGGCTAAAACTACGACAATATAAAGCTTTGTCCTCAATATAGAATCATTAATTATTTATTTCATCGACATTTAACATACTCGTCTTTCATCAATCGTATAGAAATAAATGAAGTGCGCCAATTGATTATTAGTAATTCATCCTAACCCATGCTTCATTCTACGCAAACACTCATATTCCCTTAAAGCTCAGAGCTGTGGCAGAGAATTCCTTGTGTTTATCTTTAAAATAGTGTTGAAATTGCCAAAAAAGTGTAAACTGAACGTATTTGACTTCACATATATATATCTCGAAAATCTAAAATAGAATGTCCTGCGCGTTTTCAGATATTCAAATCATCTAGAAAGTAAATATTACTATTTCTTAAAAAATACTAATAGCAAACAAAGTTATCATCTAAGAGTACTGTTGTGAACCAGACATGTCACTCTACTTATTATAACGTTGAGTACACACGCCCACTAACATTTTAAACAATATTTAAAATAATCTAGGTTTGTGAGCAATATGAGAAGAGGAGAGAGGGAGAAGGAGGGATATTTGGTTTCTAATCTCAAATTTTAATGTTTAAATTCTGTTTCAAGTTTCTTGATTAAAAAATTCCTCAAAGTTGCTAAAGAAAATTCCAGAGTTGAGGCAGAGTAAAGGTTTGGTAAGGAGAGCATGGGGGTGGGGGAGGGAGAGGGGATGGGAAATAATAAAAGGAGAAGGGGGATCCTTGTATTCCCCTAAAAGCTTGTAATAATAAATTCCCTAAAGCGAAGGTATATACATGAA